CGCTTCTCTCAGTCAGGTACTACGAGCACTGAGGCTGTAGCTCGATGGTCTGTGGATACATGCTTGGTGCAGAAGGCACTGCTGTGAAGGGTGGCATCTCCCATCTGCTGCTTTAACTGGGAAAAACCCCAACAGACTCAGTGTCAGGCAGAGGGAAGTCTGTATGCCTTTTTCTCTGCCCTTTTTCAGTTTTATCACTTTGTCTGAAAACTCATTAACTTCTTCTGGCCACAGTTATGCTTGTTGCTTAATTGTTACTCGTGATGAAACCAGGCTGTGGAGACCACAGCAGATTCAGTTACGTCTCTAGGTTAAAACTTTACTACTGTCAAGTGTTCAGCCTGGGCAGGACTACGTAGCATTGGTAGCAACTGCTCCAGGACACTATTCAAGCAGCCTCAGCTGCTGTAAACCTCCACTGTAAGAACATCCATTAAGCTGAATTGACTTCCTACAATATTGCTATCTTGCAGGAACAAAAAGAAACACATCTAAAGAATTAGAAAAAGTGGACTACATTGAAGAAACATAACAGGGCTTTGTGACTACCCTTGAGTGACCTTCACAACTTGTGGGCTTTTCCAGTCCTGCTCTCCTGTCTAAAGTAGAGGCTGGAAGGGGAGGCTGCCTCCACAAGGAAAACAACCAGTTTGTTGATTCTCCAGTGCCTTGCTTCCCATGCAGCTTTTGCACTGCTGGAAAGGGCCAGTGGAAACTGCCATTAAATTTAGCTTCAATTGCTCCACATCAGTACTGGGCCCAGTCCTATTCAACATCTTTATTGACAATCTGGATGTGGGGATTGAGTCCACCCTCAGTAAATTCGCAGATGACACCAAGCTGGGGGGTGTTGATCTGCTGGAGGGTAGAAGAAGCTGCAGGAGGACCTGGAAAGGCTGGGTCGATGGGCTGAGGTCAGTGGCATGGAATTCAACAAGACCAAGTGCAGGGTCCTGCACTTTGGCCACAATAACCCCAGGCAGGGCTACAGGCTGGGGGAAGAGTGGCTGGAGAGCAGCCCAGCAGAGATACCCGTGGGTACTGGCTGACAACCGGTTGAATCAGACCCAGCAGTGTGCCCAGGTGGCCTGGAAGAACAATGGCATCCTGGCTTGTATCAGGAATAGTGTGGCCACAGGAGTAGGGATGTAATTCTCCCCCTGTACTCAGCACTGGTGAGGCCTCACCTCGAGTGCTGTGCCCAGTTCTGGGCCCTGCACTTCAAGAAGGATCTTGAGGTGCTGAGCAGGTCCAGAGGAGATCAGCAAGGCTGGTGAAGGGACAAGATGGAAAGTTTTATAGAGATAGGCTGAAGGAGGTGGGGGTGTTCAGTCTGGAGAAGAGGAGACTCACGGGGGACCTTCTTACTCTCTTCAACTACCTGAAGGAAGGTTGCTGTCAGGTGGGGGCTGGGCTCTTCTCCCAGGCAAGTGCAACAGGATGAGAGGGCCTGGCCTGAAGCTGCACCAGGTGAGGTTTAAATTGGATATTAGGAAGTAATTCCTTACAGAGAGGGTGATAAGACATTGGAATGGACTTCCCAGGGAAGTGGTGGAGGCACTGTCCTTGGATGTGTTAAAGGAAAGGGTGGATGTGGCACTTAATGCCATGGTCTAGCTGATCTGGTGGTGTTGGTCATAGGCTGGACTTGATGATCCTAAAGGTCTTTTCCAGCCTCGCTGATTCTGTGGTTTGCCTTGTGCAAGTCTCAGTGTCTGCAGAAAACATGGGGTGAAGCAAGGGAAAAGCTCTGCTCAGTGAAGCAATGCAAATGAAACACAGGAATCAAGAATGGACTTTGTCCACAATTGCTCTCTTCCCCAAATCATTGCAAGTGAAATTTAGAGCAAACACCACCGTAAAACATACATCAGCGATGCAGCTTTTAACTCTGTGGTGTCAAAAAGAAAAAAGATGAGCCACTTCAATCACAGGGCTCCCATGGATCTCCGTTTCTGCACTTTGTGGGTGCCAAGGTGCAAGGCTTGCACAGCAATCCTTGCAGCTGGACTTGGCCAGGAAGCTCTGGCCAGCAGCTAGAATGAAACTGCAGGACTGAGTTCCAATTGCAGTGTTCCTTGTACAACCTCCTTCAGTTCAGAACACGTCACTGGTAGAGGCTGTTTTGTGGGCCTTCTTCCATGTTAGTCCCTTAAGACAGGATTCACGGCAATTACGGGGTTTTTTCCTATTTGGCTTTCATTTAGGAAAACTAACGATCACTAAGAGGAGAATTGCTGCCAATACTGACCTTTATTTTCACCCAAAGACACAAATCAACTAGGCGCGACACAAAATTTCATTCCCTTTTTCTCTTCTCTTTCTTCT